ATGTTAAAATAAGGCTTTTAGCACCTGAATTTTTCCCTCTCCTTGTAGACAAAGCAAAATGAAGTATACCATAATAATTTCTTATCTGGCTTAAGTCAACTATCAACTGGTTTTCCTCTTCCTTCTTCTCGCCTTCATTTCTCTTTCCGTTAGTTTCCATTTCGCACTTGGAAAACTAAATATTGATTTTTTAAAAAATATGATCTGTCATGGTGATATTTCTCGTTTTAAATACTCTAAAATACCTGTGATGGTTTTAATGAAGTAAGTTACCACTGTTTCTATAACTTCTTTAATTTTAAACCAATTATGTAAAGGAAAAAAGCTGTCTTCAACTAAATGGAATACTCATCTCAGCTTAAAAAGTTTTTGCTGTCACTTGCCTACTTCAGTTTCTGTATGTGCAATGTAAAAATGCAATGGATACACTCGAGACTTACAAAATACCATAGAACAAAGTTACCTTAATAAAAATTTATTTTAAAAAATATGCAAAGGGTTAAAAAAACACCTCCATTCCAATGCCATTAGTGAAGTCAGCCAGCCTGTCAGTATCTCCTGTGTGGGAAAATGTAGTAACTTTTAAAGCACACTTTCCAGTTACATGGCAAAGGCTAAGGAGAGGATACAGCCATTCAAATCACGACACTGACACCCTCTCCCCTGACACCCTCTCCTGGTGCCCTTGTGATGTCACAGATCCCCATATCCCCTGTGGCTTTTCTCTATACATTCACTTAAACATACATATATAAATATATATATATATATATAATATACCAATGTTTATATATATATATAACATATATATGTGTTAATATATGTTCATATATTCTCTGTATACACATTTCTTCTGAATGATTTTATCCATCTGGACCATTTCTAATCCTAACTCCCAAATTTACATCTCCAGGCCAACCTTTCCCCTAGTCACACACATGGAGCTTCATGCAGTCTTTTCACCCCTGTGCCTCTCTGTCCTTCTTGTCAGGCTGAGTGGCCCTATCTGGGATGGCCTCCTCCCAGCAAGGTTGAGTGCTACAGCTACCATCACACCTTGGGACATCTACCCTTCTTTACACGAGACTGCTTCACTGTAACCATCTTTCTGATCATGTGACAATCATTATTCTATTAATCACAGGTGTAACATGTACTCTATGACTGTGGAACAGTTTCCATTTTTAAATCTATGTGGGTCCCAGGCCTCCTTGGTGGTATAAACAGTTAAGTCGCAGCACTATAAACCTGTCAGCAGCCACTACGGCACGAGTTCAATCCCCGGTCTGGAAGCTGACCCACATGGTGGAGTAGACCTCCTGCCTTACTTGCTGCTCCTCTCAGCAGTGTACTTCAGTCAATCTGCCTGTTCTGTTCCCCACTGTGTTGGTGAATTCTCTCACCCCATCCCCCACCTCTGGCCAGCATCCCTGCTGTTGTATGAGTAAATAAAAATAAATCTTTTAAAACAAAAATCTGTGGGTCCAGCAGAGTCATTCATTCCAAACTAGGTTGTCTTTAGAGGAAAAAGCAAATTAAGGTTCACAGGCATTCACATTTATTATTACTCTCGCTTCTGCTCTAGATTGAGCTGTCTGTGGGTGTCCGGTAATTAGTGAAACAGCCACTCAACTTGTTTTTCTGGCTGGATATTAGGGAAGTCAGGTTTACTAGAATGCTGTTTACCTTTTTCAATGGATCCTTTAATTACTGCTACTCCCTGTAAGTCCAGTATCGCATCCATACAAGAATAGTTACTACCAGGCCCTGCCTGGTGGCACAATGGGTTAAGGCGCAGTGCTGCAAAGCTGGGTGCAGGCACTTCAGTGTGAGTTTGATTTCGAGCCAGGGAGGTGACCCACATGGCGCAGCAGACCTCTCCTGTCTCCCAGCTGCTCCCCTCAGCAGTGTCCTTACTCAATCTGCCTGTTCTGTGCCCGTCTCTGGTGAATCCTCTCACCATCCTTGTACTTCTGGCCTGTACCCCAGTTCTGTATGCATAAATAAATAAATATTTTTTTGATTTATTTATTTATTCGTACAGAACTGGGGTACAGGCCAGAGGCTCAGGAGCGGTGAGAGGCTTCACCAGAGACAGAGTGGGGAGCAGAACAGGCAGATCAACTAAGTACACTGCTGAGGGGAGCAGCGGGCAGGTCAGGAGAGGTCTCCCTCGACATGTGGATCTCCTCCAGGGCAGGCGGGGATTGAACTCATGAGGAAGTGGCTTAAGCTTCTTTGTGCTGTGCTTTAACCCGCTGCGCCACCAGGGAGGGCCCATAAATAAATATTTTTTTTAAAAAAAAGAATAGTAACTACCATTGAGCACCTTTCTAGATAGGAAATTCACTGCCTTTACTCCTATTATCTTCTCGCCTCCTCCCAGAAAACCTCAAGTAAACTCTATTATCAGGTCCCCTTCGTAGAGGAAACTGAGGTTTAAGGAGATTGAGTAACATTCTCAAAATCATCCAGCTAAAAAGGGGCAGAGAAGATCTGAACTTAAGTCTCATTCCAAAGAGCTTGTGTTCTTAAACACCACCCGGTAGGTTTCAACCACTGGAAATAAGATATGTGAAGTGTTGTATATAGTAGACCAGTCATCATCAATTATGGGGCCAGACTAAATCTTTTGATTGCAGGCAGACAAACTACACAGACCAGTTCTCAGCAATATCAAAACCAGACTGGCTCTGCTGGAAGGAGAACAAGCAACTGCTTGAATCTCAGCCTGCCACACTACATGGCTTATCTCTGCAGCAAGGAAAATGTGTGTCTTTAAAGACATGTAGAGATAATGATGAATTTGGATTTCGAAAATGCAGAATTCCACCTCTACCTGGCTTGGTCTCAAATCTTCTGCCACATGATCCCATTCTTGAGTATTGGCCTTTTAAATTAACAATCATATGTTGACAAGAACTGTCTGTTCATCAAAGGTCACAGGATGTATTGATTTTGCAAGAGATATGCATTTTAACTGCCAATAAATAATTTAGGTCAAGAAAACCCTCAAAAAACATACATGGGAGTGGGGTGGGAGACTCATTGAATCTAGCAGCAGGGAAGCTTTTGAGGGTAACTTTGAACAGGGGATGATAGCAGGATGGCGCCGAAGCTAGAGACTGCACTTTGGGTGAAACTGTCTTCCTCTTCAGGTAACTGAGTTAGACTGTTGTGAATTGTCAGAGGGAAAGGAAACAACAGAGGTTCTTAAAAATATCTTGGTGGCCTTGTCCTTATTTACCATCTGGTAGTTATCTTTCAGAGGATTCAGATCTACCAGGAAACTAGAATTAAGTGTGAAAACCAGGACTTGAGATTATATGTATTTTCTCCCAGTGCCCAGCTCCTTCCCAAAATGATCACTGAGAACTATAGAGTACCATGTATAGGGCCCATAATAAATAAATTAACAATCTCAGCCCTCAAAAGAGGTATTGATTATTTTACATACAAGGAGGCCTTCTGGAAGGTGGGGGGTGATGTAAATAGCTAGGCTTCCTGGAAGCTGCCCTTGGCACCCTTGAGGGTCTGTTTGCCTCTTGAATTAGAGGGCAACAACCTACCTCTAACAAAGAGGTACTGGCCTCAACTTTGCCAGCTCAACAATGACTATGTGAGAAAAGGATCCCCACACAAGTACCAAAGGCAGATAGGGAATCCTTCCCCTGTTATGGCTCCTTGTCCTCTCTTCAGATAGCAAGAGAAAGGCTCCAAGAGAATGGAAATCTATATAGTCAGCCACCCATTGTCCATCACCTGGTATTGAGCACGTATGTGGAGACACTGCATAGATTGGGGAAAAGAAATAAAGTCCCTGTGAGAAAGTGAGCCAACCAGGACTAAGGCTAAAGACATATTCTATTATCCACCCCGACCCTCTCCACAATCCCACCAAGACTTCAAGTCTGGCTCACAGGAAAGATGAATCCAGAGCTGTGCAAACTAAACTGGATCTTTTTGTTGGTCCTGTGAGCCAGGATTTAAAGCCTGTGGGAAAAGCTGAAACTGAAAGGGTGAATAGGGTAAAATAGGATCACTAGTGTTTAACTTTTAACCATGGATTCCTGCTGTGAAATGTTTCTTCCTGCACTGAAGTAGTTTATCCTTACCTTTCTTCACATCTGACATTTATGAAAGCATAGTGTGCCATTAAGCAATGCAACCCCTATAAGCATTGTTGGAATGAGGCCATACCTCAGGCCAAAGGTAGAAGTTAAGGGACTCCAAGCAGGTTGTTTGTTATTATAAAGCAAAACCAAATCACTTACAGTTCCAAAGAATGATAAAGTGGTGGAGACAAGAGCAGTATGAAGGCAGAAACATGAGAAAATAATGTTAATAGCAAGTAAGTTTAAGTAACTCATGACTAAAGGCTGCATTGTTATGCAACATGAGTGTCAGGGGAACAAGTTTCCAACCTCATGACTCATGTTTCTGTATTACACACATTACTGGATATTTCCTTCATTTTAAAGAAATGTGAACATAACTGTGTATATATAATGATCTGATCTCCAAAACATGAAAACACAACAGCTACTAGCCTAAGAAATATCTGCTAAGTAAACAGTTATCAGGCACTCTTCCAAGACGGAAAGTTACTCCATCTTTTGAAAAGCAAGGAGAAATTACTTCTGCCCCAGACCAGCTCACCCCGACCATCTCTTGCTGGAACCGGGTCCTGAACCGCTCAGACTAGGCAATAGAGCAAAGGCCCTGAGCAGTGACTCTGCCGCACACGCACCTATTCTGTCTCCCCTTTACCTTGAGGTGAGCAGGGGGGTAGGGGAGGGGGGCCTCCGAGCTCTGCCCACCTCTAGGCCAGCTGTTCCCTTCTGGTCTTCCTCGTCACCCCATATCGCCGCGAGGGTAACCTGCTGACCAAAGCAGCCCAGAAGGCGGCTCAAGCCGACCCACCAGTACCTGCTCGCGGTCTCCCGGTCGCCCCGGGAATCGGCCGGCAAGTCCCCGCGACTATACAGCTCTCTCGAACATACGATTTTCACCAACTTTATTGGCCCCCGGCCCCCGCGGGCCCCTAGTGCCCACCTCCCCACCAGATCGCTTCGGCCCTCGGTGACACGGACCATATTCAAAAACACTGCGGGGGGACTGTGAAAAGAGACTTTGCTGAGAATGCTGCGAGCTCCCCGACGCGGCGTCGGGCTCACTTGCTCTTCGCCTTCTGACTCTCCGTCTTCTTCGGCAGCAGCACAGCCTGGATGTTGGGTAGGACGCCGCCCTGTGCGATAGTCACTTTCCCCAGCAGTTTGTTTAGCTCCTCGTCGTTGCGGATGGCGAGCTGCAGGTGCCGAGGGATAATCCTGGTCTTCTTGTTGTCCCGCGCAGCGTTGCCGGCCAACTCCAGGATCTCTGCCGTCAGGTACTCCAGCACCGCCGCCAGGTACACCGGCGCGCCCGCGCCTACTCGCTCCGCGTAGTTACCTTTGCGCAGCAGTCTGTGTACTCGGCCCACCGGGAACTGTAGGCCCGCGCGGGACGACCGGGACTTGGCCTTGGCCCGCACTTTGCCGCCCTGCTTTCCGCGACCAGACATGTTTACCTCTCGGCTGAAACTTGTGCGAGGGAAAACAAACGCAGCAGCAGCAACGCAGATCCAAGTATGGGAATGCAACGCACCACCCCGGAACTGCCTCTACTACCACTTGGCCGCTACGAGGCCGCGCCTTCCCATTGGGCGCCGCAACAACCTGACCAATGACGAGCAGGCTACGCACCCACTAACACGCGTTGGCAGAGGGCCTGCCTTTCCCAGTGTCCTCCAATCAAAAGCTAGAACTCCTATCCTCATTTGCATAACCGACTTTATGAATACTCAGGACTCGCTAGTCACGTGCCTGGCAGTTGTGTCCAAGCTATTGAATCTTGAGAGGTGTCAAGTCCATACTTAACTGCAGGAAAAGAAAGCTTTAAGAATGAAGGAGTCGTGATTAGAAACAAAAATCCGGAAGAAGAGTTACTTCCACAAGTACAGAGCGCGCAAACAAGAAACGCAATCGTGCTCACGCAGTGTTTCCAGCGTTGCCATGCGGTCTGGCACACACTTAGAACAGAATCCTAGTATTTCTATCACTCCACAGCTCGCGCTTGTAGGGAACGTGCTCCACAATAAATCACTACTGAATCCTGCTTGCCGGTGCTGGGTTCGTGGGCTGTCCGTTTGCTATTACCCCACGGTGTAGGGAGCTGGCTCTGATGTGGGCTTCCTGTGCAGTTGCCCACTTGAACTTTTGTAACCAGATCAAATGGCAGTTGGACTCCGGTACAAATTTCGTCGCTCACCAATGCCAATCTTCTCACAGAATCATACCGACTTTTGTTTTAAGCCTTAAGAAAAGGCAGTATGATTTCGATTCGATCGTATTGCTTAAGTGTTGAAGGTTACCATGTTGAGCTTTCTACCAATTTTAAGGCAAAATAACCAAAAGCTTTCCATAACCCCCAAACGCCAGTCTTTTGCTTCTTGCCTACTCCATTATTACAGGGAGGAGGGCGAAGTCTCTCTCCCGGCTCCCTCCAGATCCCCCCGCCCCAGAGCTTTGCTCACTTTCTCCAGGTTTTCAAACAGGTCCGCTTCCAGGGAAGCTGTGCTTGGGTGCAGAGTCATTGGTCAGGGGAGCAGAGGATATTACGCTCAGCTTTTCTGCGTCTGCTGGAAATTCCTGCCCAAACCTGCCGGACATGGTAAAGTCGGTGAAGGGCTAGGTCTTAGCTCCACAGGAAGGTCTTGTGGGACAACATATAAGGCATTATGCCGTGTGCCCCGCGCGGAGGTATCTAGTTCCCATCCGGGATCATTGCCCAAGAGCCCGGGGAAATGTGATCGCGACGCGGTGACTTACACGGAGCACGCCCAGGGACCATGGATGCGGTGCCCGCGCTGCAGCGCTGGGGTTGCACCCTGGACGGCTTCAGCGGTCAGCCTCCAGACTCCAAAAGACCCTTTGAGGGGCTCCAAAAACTTTAAGAAAGGAGCAGACGGGCGATACTTAACTATGGGGTAAAGAAATAGGGGTGCTTCGCTCATAGCAGGCGTATAATGGACCAGGCGAGAAAATAACAAAAATAATGAACAACCATATACCAGAGACATTTTGTGGGGGTGGAATGGGGAATGGGATCAAAAACGGGGGGGGTGGGGAGGGAAATGCACGGGATTATGGTGATGGCACACGGGTGACTTGGTGATGGGAAACCCAGGGGGATTACAATTGAGATGGAAAAAAAAATGTACAAAATGATGTAAAAATAAACTTTTGTAAAAAAAAATGGGGGTGCTTCGGGCGTGGGGCTGGTATTGGTGATAGACATCTGAGGAGGTGTGAACGTGTTCTCCCGAAACATACAGGTAATCTGTTACCTCCTCAATAATAATAATAATCCCACAAATTAAAAAAGAAAAAAAGAAAAAAACTGTATTGAGCGAATGTGCGCTAAAGAGACCTGTGGTAGAAAACCTTGGCTATGGAAGCAGCTGCTCAGGAAAGAAAGCTCCAGGCTAGACTTGGAATTCGGTTGGAGGGGAGGTAGTGAGCAGCTGGGAGTGGAGTCCCTGGGTGTGCTCTGGGGACGCAGCCCCGGAGGCTGGACACGTGGTGTCAGGCGTCAGGGTCTTTGCTCTTCTGCTTGACTTTGGGCTCCTTTTAGAAGGACGCGTCGCTGAACTGACAAAACCCTTGGCAGCGCTGGGCGGCTTCTGAACTGCTGAGGCTTGGTATACTGAACGCACTGCAGCGTGGGTGTGAACTGTCCTCCGGGGAAAGGGGAATCCTGCCCGAGGGGCGGTCCTTCGGGTGCCCCTCCGACGAAGCGCCCAGTAGGAAGGCGCTGCCGGCCACACTGGGCGCTTCGGCGGGCTCTCGGGCCGTTGCTTGAGTCGCGCTCGCGGTCCTAGCCTAGTGCGGACCGTCTGCAGCTTCGCTGGCCTTTCAAGTAAGAGGAAACTCAGCACCCACGCTGAGTGCTGGGGGCGCAGAGCGCGAGCGAAGTCTAAGCGGGGCCAAAGCCCGCGGCCCCTGAACCTCCTGCGCGTTAGCTATGCGAAGTTAGCTGCGCAGAGCTGTGGAGCGGAGGGACCCCCACGTCCCCTGCGGCGGAGCTTGCACCCCTGAACTAGCTGGCGGCGTGCCCGGGGGCGCGGGGCAGATTCTGCTATTGCCCAGAAGTTATTGGTCTGAGACTCGGTCGCAGCTGGGAGATAAACCCTTGCTTCCGAATCAAGGCTCCTTTCGCAGCCGCCTGCGTGACTGTGGAAGGGACAGAGCGGCGGGCTGGGTTCTCATAAATTAGAATGAAAACGGTGAGGGTAAGAGAGCTGTGCAGTCCCGAGGTCGTTGTCAGTGATACGGAGATGCTGCCGGGATACCTGGAGCAAGGTGCGGCGCAGGGGCAGCCTGTTTGAGAGAGGCCGCCAGGAGGCGCAGCGCGAAACGGGAGCGGTTGGATGGCCGCAGTCTACTTCTGGTTGTCTTCTTTAACCTGTTCGATGATGAGAAATGCGGGTGCGTTAGCACCCCCCAAATGTGGTGCGATTTCATGCAGCGTTAGCTGATCTCTCCCGGCTTTGGTTTCCCCAGACAAGGTAAAGGCACTTAGCTGTTTGGAGGTGGTTGAGGTGGAGGAGTTTGCCAGACTTGACCAGTTTGTCTGAATCCCTCGGCAGTGACAGGCACGAAACCGCTTGTTGAGCTTCCAATACAGCCAGGCACTTTGGAACGCACAGTATTCCGTCATTACACTCGGTTGTCCATTTATGAAACATTATGGATTGTGCTTTGAGGATGCTGGTGGGGTGCGGTTTGTGCAAGAACTGGAGAAAGGGTTTGAACCCAGCTCTGTTGGACCCCACACCACTGTGAACTTTAATCCTTATGTGCCACTGCTTCTGCTAAGGAGACCGGGTCGCTGTTTACTGGCATTTCTCTTTCTTCTGCTCCATAAAGGCCCAGTGCATTCATGATACAGGTGCTGAGTACATATCTAGGGCGGTGAGTGCCAGAAGCTCGACTTTCATTAATGCAAACAAACAAACAAACAAAAAAATGAATTACTGGGCCCTCCCTGGTGCGCAGCGGGCTAAAGCACAGCACTGAGAAGCTAAAGCCGCTTCCGCATGAGTTGGATTCCCGCCTGCCCCGGAGGTGACCACATGGAGTGGCAGACCTCTCCTGACCCGCCCACTGCTCCCCTCAGCAGTGTACTTCGTAGATCTGCCTGTTCTGCTCTCCACTCTGTCCCTGGTGAAGCCTCTCGCCGCCCTGAGCCTCTGGTCTGTACCCCAGTTCTGTATGCACAAATAAATAAATTAAAAAAAATGAATTACTTAAAAGAAATAGCAGAGTTGTGTGCCCTTATGTCTGTTGAATGAATGCATGAGTGAATCTGAGTAGATAGATCATATATTTATTAAATACCAAATTTAGCAAGAAGTGATTTATTGAGAAAGGGTGGAAATAAGCATTGTATGACACTTTAAATTATCTATTCCTTAAGTATTTATCTTTACATACTCTGTAAGTATTTGACTTTACTTGGAATAGTTTTACTTTTTTGTGACTTACGCTGTACAATATTATATAAATTTCACGTTTGTCATTGAGACTCAGCATGTATATGTGCTACATTAAATTCACCACTAACAGTTGGTCCAGCTGTTATTGAACAAAGATGCTCATTTTTCTGGTGAATTTCAAGATAGGTTTACACATGTGCTGAGCCTGCAGTTCCACTGGTTGATGTTTTCCTGGGGGAAATACAGGCACATGGACCAGGACATGTGGTCACGGACTTTCTTGGCAGGACTATGCGTAATAGCATAAGCTATTATGGTGAAAAGGATGTGGCAGTCAAGATAAAGGACTAAATGAGTTCATGGGGGGCCCCCATTCCCACTTTGTTTCTCTGATGACATACATGAACACTGGTGTCTTCCTAATTTGATCGATTTTTTAAAGATGTATTTATTTATGCATGCAGAACTGGGGTACAAGCCAGAGGTCCAGGGATTAGTGAGAGGATTCACCAGGGACAGAGCGGGGAGCAGAACAGGTAGATTGAGGGGAGCAAAACAGGCAGATTGAGGGGAGCAGTGGGTGGTAGTCAGGAGAGGTCTTCTGTACCATGTGGGTCAGATCCCACATGGGGCAGGGGATCAAGCTCACACTGAAGTGGCTGCAGGTAGCTTACAGTGCTGCGCTTTCCAGGGAGAACCTAATTTGACAGATTTTTAAATCTCAACTAATATTTGTTTCCAGATCATTAATAGTCCCAGTAACTGAACTGATAGTGCTGCCATCCAGAAAACTGAGCTTTTGCTTCTCCTTTGGACTAAATGCAGCTCTCTGCTTCTGACCTCTTTAGCCTCCTTTGAGGTTTCCTGCTTAATATGTGTTTCACATTCCACCCCCCTCTCTCCCAGCTGCAGGCTTATTTTCCATCACCACCTCAGATTTGGTGGGTTTACCTCTCCCCTTCAGTTCTCTCGCTTTCCTTTTCTTTATTTACTTTGCCCTTTGGACATTTGTCGTCCTAATAATGCAGAACTTATGCCAAATCTTTATTCAGATTGTGTCGTTTTCCAAACTACTAGAATGGATATGGACTAACGGTTGGTTGTATATATATTCTTTCACTTAAAAGCAGGTG